TAGTAATTCATTTAATGATCAACAAACTTGCTGCTGATTTCGAGGGTGTTGAAATGGGTATTGGCGAAAGTTTGCTCATGAAAGCTATCGGCGAGAGTTGCGGTAGGAGCTTGGAGAGAATTAGAGAGGATCAGAGAGAGTGCGGTGACTTGGGACTTGTTGCAATGAAAAGCAGAAATAAACAGCAGACGCTCTTTGCTCCCCAACCTCTGACTATTGCTGTTGTCCATAGAGGTCTACTGGATATCGCAAGAACCAAGGGTGAGGGTGGTCAAGGCCGAAAGGTCTCGGCTATTAGAAAGCTCCTCGCGGCTGCAAAAGGTGATGAAGCAAAGTTCCTGATTAGAGGACTGGAGGGTAAACTCAGATTGGGGCTTGCAGAACGAACTGTCTTAGTCTCGTTAAGCAGTGCGATGATCACTCACGAGCAGGAATTGAGTGGTAAAATTCCGACCACAGCAATGCTGGACCAGTCGGAGATCAACCTCAGAAACGTGTATAGGTTTGTGCCTTAATTGACGAGGTTTAATGTTTATCGAGCTCAGCTGACTATTTTATCTCTAGTGAGTTGCCGAGCTACGAGATCATCATACCCGCTATGATGGAACATGGTATCATGAAGGTCAAGGAGCATTGCAAATTGCAACCTGGTATTTATACTCTTCAAATAATCCAGTTTTAAACTGTTACTAACTGCCTTGCAGGTGTTCCTGTAAAACCCATGTTGGCGAAGCCAACAAAAACAATATCGGAGGTTCTCGACAGGTTTGAAAACCAACGTTTCACTTGCGAGTACAAGTACGATGGGGAACGTGCCCAAATCCATTATGTGTCTCCAAAATCTTCAATTGAGTATCCGCCAGCTACTCTTGGTGGTAAACCTATCAAGAATCTTGCCAAGGTTTTTTCCCGCAATTCAGAGGATTTAAGTGGCAAGTATCCCGATATCCTTGCAGCGATGAACAAGTGGGTTAGGCCCGAGGTTGAGAGCTTTGTTCTTGATTGTGAAGCGGTCGGATGGGATGAGACCAATAACCGTCTCCTACCGTTTCAAATGCTTCAGACCAGAAAAAAAAAGGATGTCGCATTAGCGGATGTAAAGATCAGAGTGTGTGTTCATGCATTTGATCTTCTATTCTTGAATGGAGAGGTATGTGGTTGGATTTGCAACTGAGTTTAATTCGCGATATATTGCTAACGTTATTGGTTAAATTCCTAAAGCCTATTGTTCGTGAGTCTCTTGATGACAGAAGGAAGCTTATGCATGAAACGTTCACCGAAGTTCCCAATCAGTTTGTGTTTGCCAGGTACATGGATAGCAGCGATCTCGAAGAAATCCGTCTCTTCCTTGACCAAAGTGTGAAGGACTCTTGTGAAGGGCTAATGGTTAAAATGATGGATGGTACTGAGAGCTTCTATGAGCCCAGCCAGAGGAGTCGTAATTGGCTAAAGGTAAGTTGATTTTTATTAAATTTTTTTTTTTTAATTAGCGGGCGAGAACCCTTGCAAGTGCGGTTCTTCATTTCCACACTCTCCCTTTCCATCTGATAAGCGGCGCACCGCCCCCCCTTTTTTTTCATTCTTCTGCTGTGATCTGAGGAATTTTTTATCTGATAAAAAGTTTTGTGTGCCACAATCAGATCAAGAAGGATTATATCGATAAGCTAGGAGACTCCCTAGACTTGGTTGTAATTGGCGCCTACTGGGGTAGGGGTAAACGCACCTCCGTTTATGGCTCCTTTTTGCTAGCTTGTTACAATCTTGCTACTCAAAACTATGAATCCGTATGCAATATTGGTACCGGTTTCAGCGAGTCTCAACTTGAAGAGTTCCACGAGACTTTACACCCGCTCGAAATTGATAGGGCCAAGCCTTTCTACGACCATCCGAGTGGTAACGCGGGCAAGCCGGATGTTTGGTTTGAACCTAAAATCCTCTGGGAAGTTAAAGCGGCCGATTTGACCCTGTCTCCTCGCTATAAGGCCGCGTCTGGCCTAGCTGGACACCGGGATAAGGGCGTTAGTCTCAGATTCCCCAGATTTATTGGTCCTAGGACCGACAAGACCGGCGATGACGCGACCAGTTCCAATCAAATTGCGGAGATGTATCTCCGCCAGGATCAGGTTGCGCATAAGACCGGAGCTAAGGGAGTTGATGATGATTTCGAGTACTGATTTTTTTCCCTCTCCTTTTCTCCTTTATTTCTTTGCTATTTTGCTTTAAGCTACTCTGTTTGCAACTTTAGGGTGAACAGAAGTTGCGAATTTGCTGGAATAGCTAATGAGAATGCGCGAGAGAGTGCTTAGTTGAAATTGGTTGTTTTTTAGTGGTAGATAGCGACTTAGTTTTTTTTTTTCATTTTCTTTCGATTAGTAGTATTATTTTTTTCTTTTTTTTTTCGAATGGGGGGATTCGTCTAGGGTTTCCCAATTTAAGTGGAAGGTATCGGCATGCTGATAGTGCGAATGGATACCAGGTGGACAGACTTTAGAAACAGATTGTACTGCAGTGTTAGAGAATTTTAGTAGTTGCTGCTATTGCCAATAAAATCATCCCTCCCTCCCTTACCCCCAAATTTTACCGTGCTTGATGACACATTAATTGGAGTATCATGATGGCCCGCACGGCTTGGCCATCAACCGTTCACAGCAAGCAAACAAACAATACTCACAAAAACTTACTCGTCAACGGGGAACAAAGCTGGGTCGCCCCCCCCCCCCCCACGCGGCTCGTGCCCTGCCAGAGTCTATATCAAAATGAATACTCATGGACGTGCATGATATATCAGGAAAGAGTAATTGGAGGAGTATGATATCCTACAGAACGCAAGATACAAGTCTTATTTATCTATCCTCTCCCTCCGTATACGTAATGGAACGCACCCTTACCCGTCACTCTTTGTACCCACTGGTATTCTTTCAATCCGTTTGCTTGTTTACACTGCTGCAAGCGAACAAAGAAGGGTGGCGCGAGTTATAGTGATTTGAGCAAAGGCGGTTGATTACTAGTGTGATGGGAGTGAATCCCGGCGACGCAAAGAGTGAGTGAACAAAGGGTTCGAGTGCGGGTTGAGTGCACGGTGCTGTACTCGTACATGTATCTTTCCACTCGTGTCTGTGTACTCGAGTACAGTACAGCAAGCTCTGTGGCGTTGCCCACGCGACTGAGGGCGGGGTTCGACGAGGTGGGATGGGATGGGATGGGATGGAGTGAACGGAAAGGGACTCGGAGGGCTGGGGGTGCTGCGCTGTGCTGTTCTGTTCTGTACCGTACCGGTATAGTACGCTCTTCGGTATGGTACGATACTCGTACTGTGATTGACGGTGCTATTCGCTTTGTTGTATTATGATAATGTGATGGTGGGTACTACTATATATTATCACTGCCGGGTGTGATTCCCGAGATGCTACCTAGATCGCAATTGGTAAGTTATTCAGTCTACTCGTGTGGGCCATTGGCTCTCTGTCATGCATGTGTTTGCCAGTCCCTTGGGTTCAATCCAGAATTCGTCGCCGACAGCTGGGGGGTTCGGGGGAAGGCTCAGTGGGGAGGGATAGATGTCAATTGAGGATTCTGAGTACACCTTCCTCTTTCACTGCTGGTAATGTAACCATTCCTTCATCCGTGTGGAGAAGAAGGGAGAGGAAAAGGGGAAAAGAAAATACCGGTAAGCCCCGGAACTCGCCGTTCTCAGCTCTCCTCCTCCTCTTTCTCTCGCATACGAATGATATTCGAGTACTGGTATCATACCCCCTCGTTATCAGAAACGATCTAACCCTAAAATCAGATAAACTTAACGCCGATTGTCTCTGCCGCATATCATACGCACACACCGCACACTTTAACACGGGCTGACACGGCAAGGATGAAAAAGCAATGAAAACTAAAGTTATCTCAGGATTTGATAAAGCGCATCAAGATCCCTGCACTGCATGGGTTGGTGGGGTTTTTTCCCTGCTGTTTTTTTTTCTTTTCTTTCTTGGCGGGATGGTTGGGGTGGTACGGGGTTGTAATCTGATTGATCTGATGGTGTGATAGCGATTGCAATTGTGATTAGGGTTAGGGTTACGCCGGGGGAACGGGATGGATGGGTGAAGTGGGGATGCGGCGAGAGGGACGGAGTGTGAGCGAGTGGTCAAAGTGCTGGCCTCGCGTTTTTTGTGTGCTATCTGCACTTCTCGACCTGTCGCTCGAGCGTGGAATACTGCACCGGATTGCGTGAGTGAACTTCCCTTTGTGACGTTTTTGTGGCACCCGCTCACGCTGTGCTCTGCTTTGCTATGTGGTCTGATACTATTACCGGTATTATACCGCGCCGCTCGACCTTCCTTATCATATCTGATCCGATCGCCGCGAGTGCTGGGCGCGTATTGCAGACCTAGTGCGCCTATGATACCGTGGACGACCGGGCAGGGTTCCGCACATCCTTGACGATTGATGGAGGGAAGGGTGGAGTGGGGGGAGGGGGCGGGCTTGCTATGTTGATTGTTGTATAATTCGATTAGGAAACTGGTTCGGGATCTTTATAGCAACACACGGTACCGGTAGGTAGGTGGGCAGGTAGATGGGTGTCATGGGTGGGGATACTCCATGTCTGTCGTCTCTTTTCTTGGGGATAGGGGGAGAAGGAAGGCGAGTTACCGCTATGGCAGCCTTGGGATGGGGTGGGTTGGTTTTAGCATCTGATGTCGATGTTACGAGCTTGCTACTCCTGTTTGCCCACTGTAAGTGTAATGGTAGCGTTTTCCATCCGTAGGAATGGGAAAGTCCTTTCTTTTCTTTCTCCCTCTCTTTTTTTTCTATTAAAGAAAGAAAAGAAAAAAAATAGGAAAAAAAGTACGGGAGATGGGAATTGGGCCGGGATGAGTTTGGGGGTCGGCTTGACAATTATCTGCTCCCTTTGCTGGAGGGAGTGAATATACAAGTGGGTTTCCCGGTTCTAAAGGGACGCCTGCACTCTGCTAATTTATATTTAAGTTTGGGGTCCTTCCCTCCTCCCCATCTCGCCTTAGTTCATCCCGACCCTCACCTGACGACCGGTACTACCGGCGCTGTTACTTGACTTGCCTACTTCGGTTCTGTGCCTTGGTAGCATTTATTCTTCCGCTGCAGTACTCTGCCATCTAGAATATCTGCGAGGTGACTGCTAGTCTTGTCTCGCCCTTCATTTACTCTCCGAATATCGACAGCTCTGGGGAAAGTTATCGCTGCTGCCATGAAGTCTACCGATATAGAATCTTCTGTTCCGCGCTCTGACGGTAATGATACCGTGTCCAGTTCTGGCTCTGAGGGGGTGATTCTGCAGACGGGTGTGCAGAGGGTCGAGGCGGTAGCAAAGACTTGGACGAGGAAGGCATTGTATGTTGCTTATGCTGGGTATGTACTATCACCTTGTGCTTGGATTGCCGGTTAAATGCAAGGAGGGAGAGAGGGATTGATTGCCCGATAATTGACGGCTATGATAGCATCTTCTTAATGGCATTCTGCACATCGGTTGACATCCAAGTGACGAGCTTGCTCGCATTCTATGCAACATCCTCCTTCTCCTCGCATTCCCTCCTGTCGACTGTTGGTGTCGTGGGAAGTGTTCTCATGGGTATGTCGACCGTCTGGCCCCATCTCCGATCACCGAGTTTCACAATTGACCGATTTACCATGAGCAATAGCCGTCGTCCAGCCCCCAATGGCCAAAATCGCTGACGTCTTCGGGCGAACCGAAGCGTTCGCCATTTCGATGCTTCTCTATATCCTCGGGTACATCCAGATGGCCGCTTCAGAGAATATCTCCACCTATGCCAGCGCCCAAATATTCTACGCCGCTGGATCCACTGGTCTTCGCATCCTACAGCAGATCTTCATCGCTGATACCTCTGATCTTCTTAACCGCGCGCTGCTCTCCTCGCTGCCCGACACACCTTTCTTGATAACGGTGTGGGTGGGGCCGGAGATTGCCGAGCACTTTACCACTGGACCCTGGAGGTGGGGGTACGCTATGTGGACTATCATCACTCTCGTACTCTCGCTGCCCTTGTTCATCTCTCTATGGGTTAATCAGAGGAAGGCGGCAAAGGCCGGATTGTTACCTGAGTATCCGTGGAAATCGCGGGGCGTTGTCAACTTCTTGAAGAGCCTTTGGACGGAGTTGGACGTTATGGGAGTTTTGCTGCTGGTTGCGGCTTTCAGTTTGCTGCTAGTACCTCTGACGCTCGGTGGACAAGCTGTGGGAAAGTGGAAGAATCCGAGTATTATTGCTGCTATCGGTGGGTTTATAACTGTTCACTGCGGGGAGGGGTTAGAGAGGAGCTAATTTGTTTTTCATTGCAGTTATCGGGGGTGTCTGCTTGATACTTTTCCCGCTCTGGGAGATGTGGAAGAAGGCTGCTCCTACTCCTCTCTTGACGTTGAGATTGTTCAAGAACAGAACTGTCATTGCTGGCTGTGTTCTTGGCTTCTTCTACTTTAGTGAGTATCACTCTAATCGTAGCTAGAAATGTATACTAACGGGCCAACCTCAGTGGCATACTACCTCTCCCTCCAGCCTTACTTCTACTCCTACCTCATGGTCGCCCGAAACACCGGCTCCAAAGCTGCTGGCCACATCACCTTAACCTTTTCTTTCACCGCAACCGTCTCCTCCGTCCTCATCTCCCTGGTCATCAAATATACAAAGCACTACAAGTACTACATGATCGGCGGAATCCTAATCTACATGCTAGGAATCGGCCTTATGCTCCGCTACCGCAATATCGATGCCAGCAACGCCCAGGTGATCTGGACCCAAATCGTTGTCGGTATCGGCGGTGGCATGCTAAACGTCCCCGCCCAGTTGGGCGTGCAAGCCGCCTCCCTGCACCAGGAAGTCGCCGCTGCGACTGCGCTCTTCCTGACAATCGTGTCCATCGGCGGGGCCGTCGGGTCAGCCGTTTCGGGCGCGATCTGGTCACACAACATCCAGAAAAAATTAATGCTGTACCTTCCCGAAGCCGCCAAGGGGAACATGACGATGATTTACGGCTCCGCCGTCACGGCCACCACCTACCCCATGGGATCCCCCGAGCGAACGGCGATAATAAGGTCCTATGACGAGACTATGCGCATTCTCCTAATTGTCGCTGTCTGCGTGTGTATTCCGATGCTGCCCGCCGGCCTCTGCATGGCCAATTACAAGCTCGATGAGGTGGACCAGAGGGTTGAGGGTGTGGTGTTTGGCAGCTCGGGTAAGAAGAGGGCCAGGAGCGAGAGCGGCACCGCGGAGGTAGTGGAGAGGAAGGAGTGAATGCTCTGTTTAGCTTAAAGTAGCTTAGAGGACTGCCCCCTACCTTGTACTCGAGTACAGTACGAGTACTCGAGTAGTTGTGGGCTTGTTTCTGTGTGCGTGCTATTATGTAATGGTGGCGATGCGATGGTGGCGAAGATATCCTGAATAGATGGAAGGATGGAATCTAGGTGGATAAATATGCTAGTTGATTAAGTAATGAGAAACCATACCGCTTAAAAAATGATGCATCTTGTGGGTGCCTTCACGAGTCATGCACTATGAAAATTCCCGGTCGTAGACCTGCGAAAAAAAGGGAAAAAAAGAAAAGAAAAGAAACAGAAGCAAGAAGTATCATACAGTGTTGCGATGGAAGTCAGCTACCGGTATCATACACACACCACACGAACCCCGGCACCCAATGTCCGGGCACACGGATATGGAGGGAATCCAGCTTGCACAGAGACCAGTAAATATACTTTACAGGCCGGCACTCTGCCATGCCATGCGGTGTGCCGGAAGGGGCGATGAAGGACCTTGCGGGATGGGGAATCCGGAGGATATTGTAAGGATGAATTTTCAAGATGTCCGTATCGACCACCTTAGGTATACGTAGCGGTACCAACAGATTATTATTCCAACTCGGGCGGATTGGGTGATGGAATGGGCGATTGGGGAATCTCACGGGAATGAACATGCACGGTCACGGAGAACGTATTTTCAGTTTCGCACTTGCGCATTGCAATTTGGGGAACAAATGTACTTTTCTCGATTTTTTTGTACATATATAATGGTTTGAATATTATAAATGAAAATGGATGTTGGGATGGAAGTAGTTTGGTGGGGTGAGAGGAGTTTGGGGGGGTGCCTGCTATCAGGCTGTGCAGTTGGAGGCTGCCCGATAGCAGGTTGGTGGAGATTTATAAGTCTGCTTCCATTATTGATTTGTTAGCTGTGTAATTCTGTTGAACTGGATGGGGGTGTAGTCTGGTATGATAGCTCTTACATTCAACATCGGACACGCCGCCTGCCGGTTAGGAGCGTGCACAGATGTCTTCTGTGTGCTATGATAAAGCATACACTGACAGTATTTAACTGTTTTAGTATAATTTTAAATGTGCTTGATAAATGTTCCTGACAGGTATATGTTAGCATAGTAAACTAAAAATAGAGTAAATATAGTAGTCAACATACTTGTAATATTAGAGTTAAAAACTCATGAAAGAAGGAAAGGAAAGGGAGGAGAGAGGTGTGAAGAAATGAATTTAAGGAGGAGAAATAGGAGTAAGAAGGGAAAGATGGAGAGGAGGATCGAAGGGAGGAGAATAGGAAAGAGGAAGAGTATAGGGAAGAGGGGGAGGAGGAGAGGAGAGAAAGGATGTAAAAAAGAAGGAGGAGAAATCTAAATAGATATAAGTATTCTAATTTTTAACTGAGAAGGTAGATGGAGGGAAGAGCCTATAGAAGCCACCAATAACTAAAACTGACCTAATGAATTCAACAATTCTATAAATGGTACATTAGATCTTCAACTTCATAATAGATTGAAATGTGGAAAACTAAAAAAAGGGAACTTACATAACCTATTAGGAATTAGAATAAACTCCTTTTATATATTTTAATATAAAATGTTCTCAGATACTGGTAGGGATAAGAAAGGTGGGGGACTTGAGGAGTGAGAGTAGTGAGAAGAGTGAAAGTGTTAAGGAGGGAAATGTACTGGTGATAGCTTCACTTAGTGCTTGGTGGTATGGGCTATCTGAATATTCTCAGCCATATGGGCTGGACAACCCCACTGATAGTATGTCTGGCATGGCCACTGTTGTGAGAGCTGACCGTGTTGATGTTGAGAAGACTGCGGATGTAAAAACGAGAGAAGAATGGGAAGGAGAGGCTGCTTTTATGCTGTATCGGTCCTATGGGGGGGGCTTTCACTCATTTGCCCGAAGTGTATCATACTTGGAACGCAGTCACCTTGATCTTTGCGGGCCAAACCCGCAGCTTTACTGTGATGGTATTGCTACTAGTATTGTGTGGCGAATAACTGGGATCTTGAGGGTATCGGGCTCATCCTAAATTGCATATATGGCCACTAAGCTAACGGACATCTTATGGTTAGAACAGAACGGGGGCAGTATGAGGCTGGACTTTACAAGTGGGAAATGGAAAGTAAAACCACTCTGTAAGCTTCTGGTACTAGGGTGGATATTTGGTAATTCTGAGCAAAGGTACTGCAGTGACCGGACTAGGCTCACTCTGTATGGGTGCCCCACCTCTCGCCGGCTGATTAACGGAATGTCTGTCTGAAGAGCTGCCAACACACGCAGGAGATAGTCTGGCAATTTATAACCCTATGGTTAGTCTTCTTCTAGCAGGCGTACCCCACTCACTACTGTTAATTATCATTCAGGCAGAGGTGTTTGAACAAAGAATAAGAACATGGGCAACCGTATAAAGAGGGAGGGCAATCGCAACAACCTCTATCCGTCCTAGCCGGGGCCCCGCCAGAAATGGAGATAAAGGGGGCCAACATATCTTTGGAGAGCATAAAGAAATTTTGGAATAATACTGCATATCCGGACCCGCGGCGGCTGGCGATGCGGGTCGAGTGATAATCTATGGCCCTACAGGGGCCGCCAAATAAGTACTGAGGTTGCATTGGGCAACTCTCGGGGTCTGCTCTTACCATTCGACAACACTAAGATTCCAAGGGGAACAGGAAGCACGCTAGGTCCAGTCTTTATTTTCCCGTTGGCGGATGATATGCGCGATATATCATAACCGGGCTACCAGCTGCCTTGACCCGTTCCCAAGGTACCAGGACCAGTGCGGATATGGGATACCCGGGAAGAGAAGACTACTGGAGTACTCTAGCAACTTATGGCGTTCGAATGTGATAACCAATCACATCAGACTGGGCTGGTACGCTCTGCTGTATCGCGCTCGACGCTGGATTGGTCTTGGCATCAGAACTTTTTTGCGAGCTCGGGCGTGCAAAATGCGGCAATGGAACTGCGAGTGGTCGAGCAGTTAGCGGGTCCGAAGTCGTGATTTGTTTTTTTTCCTCCTCCGCAACTTGTGGCATCCTGCGGAGGTAGTGATCCAGGGTTGATAGTTCCCAGACCTTAGCTAGACTATTCCGGCCGCCGGGCTACTCGTGCCTTATCGTCCAGCACGGTATTTCACAAGTGAAGGCTATCCCCGGATTATGACACTGTATTACAGGTAAGGGCTTTGCGATGCTTGAAACCTGGTCGGCCCGGAACCGCATTTGCCTCACATTCAGAATGTTTTCGCAAAACCTCTAATAAGCGGAATGCGGGTCCTTTTGGATTTTCCTTTTTCTCAATGTTTTTCGCCAATCATCTTGTCCGGTTCAGCACGTCTTGGGTCAGGCAAAAAGCCTCTTCCCCCAGCCACAACGGGTAAATATAAGGGGCTGAGCTACGTCATCGCGCAGGTGTCCGTTGTGCTGGGATGAGGATGATGCGAATTTTCTCAACTCTTGCGGTTCTTCCAAATACGGTAGCTAGCCGTCTCCCCTTCCCCTCCCCTCACTTAGAGCATTCGAGTCTGCTACGGCAGTTTATTCACCTCGTTGCTTTTTCTGGATCCTTGAAGAATTTGGCTCGCCTTTGTTCCCATAAGTTAAGTCACACGGTAAAGTGACAAAGGGTGCCAATTCCTGGGACAGAAGAATTGTTGCAAGGGAGGGCTATATTCACCGGTATTAATCCCCACTACAGGAAACACACTGGTAGGGCCCTGCTCCGGGCTGCGTCCACCGCGCCGCGCTCAACTGGGGGAGTCTGGGCCGAAGAAAAGGGCCGGGCAAGCGTGGAGATGCCGTGCGCCTGGATTCCTCTCTACAGTCATCTAAACCCGATCAGTGGACAAAATCTCGATCCCTTGTCTGGCGCGGTTCTGTCTTTGCCCGAAGCCCAAAGTTTGTTGCGCAGGGTTCCGCCTTTTTGTTGCGTCCCACCAACCCTCCCCCTCCCCCCTCCAGCTCCTCCCGACCTACCCGGGCATGTATGGCGGGAGGGAGGATGTTGAGGCAAGAAGTCGGTAGGTTATTTATTGATTCGCCATTACCGGCACTTTGCCGTGTCGGCCAATCTGAGATGAGATCGCAGTGAATGTCGTGTTGTATCCCTTAGCTGGGGGGATCGTTGCTTCTCTTTTCTTTGCGCTGGTCCCTGCAAGAGCGGTGCTCCCGAGATGGCCGAGCAAATTCTTTCGCTTGCGCGGGAGTCGGATCGGGCGCCCATAGGGTATCATACAATTGTACTCGTAAGGTGCTGGAAATCTCAGAGGAAAAGGGGAAGCACTGTTGATAGGAATGATTTCCCGGAATGCCCGGCGCCAATTTCCGCGTCTACTCGAGTAGTCTAAGAGAAAGGTAACTTGATGGCAACCCAAATCTCATTACTGCACTCGAACGAGCCCCTGTCGGGCAGTTTCCTGCCGACCGGGGTCTTTGTGTGCTCGCTCCGGTGGACGACGGTATCATACTGTGGTGCACAGTACTGTGTACCGTACACACTCCTGAATCAGTTTCCGTTAGCCTCAAGGTTGCCATATAACTCTGTTGCACCTGCTTCGCGGCTTGCTAGGTCACGGGGAGAGAATGGGAATCCGAGGAGAGGAAAGCAACCCATCGTGAGGGCCTGGGGCGGGTGTCAGTACCGTAGTGTGCGGTGCATGCTGGACTGTCTTCCTACCGGTGTCATACCGTAGGATCCTCTAACAAGCCCGGGAAAGAAATCCGGCGAGGGGCGTTTTGTGCGAGCAGTTCTCCTTCTTCTAGTTAGACCAATTTTGGCGACAGTGCAGCCGTACTGTATAATACTACCGTACTCGAGTACTCGTACAAGTACAGTACGGTACTCACTACTATGAACTGGTACCTGTACCCACAGAAGACCAGGTTCCCTCTATCATTTTTTTATCCCTGGCCTTATCACCCCACCCCTACAGGATTTTCCTTCTCATTCAGTAAATACGAGTACTATACCGTACAGTACGAGTAGTATCATGATCCCCGCAGGCAAATTGCTGTGCACTAAAACACATTCACACTCGAGAGATACCGGTAATCTACGTGGATCAAGTGTTTTCCCTTTTTCTCAACCATTGCTTTGTGCTCTCTGCTCACTCGCCCACCCATTTATCCAAGGGGACGGAAGTGTGGGACCGTTATCGCGCCTACGGTGAGCTATCCTGAATCGCTGCTATCGGCGGTTGCTGGGGTGTGTCCCCACTTATCCCGTCCCGTACCCAATACCTCTTCTCAACCCACCAACACTGCATTTCATTTCGGTCCATTCGGTCCTTTCTTCTCTTTCTTCATCTCCTTTTCTCACCTGAGGAGAACAAGGCTTCTTGCTCTATCTCACGTCACAATCTCTGTCCCCCCCCCCCGGATACCTTGCTTTGGCTACTGAGGAAGGGGAGGACCTTATCGTTCCTCCCACCACCACATCTTGGCCCACATCCTGGCCATTTCCACAACACGTAGGTGCTTTGCACCAGTGTTGATCACTTGATACTTTTATTTTGACTCTCTTGTGAACTAACTCCTTTGGAACTATCAGGCAATAATAACCACCCTTTTCCCATCACGTGGAATTCGAGGACCAAAACGCGCACAACCCCGATCGTTAGATTTGGCATTCGAGATACCAAGTTTGTACTACGGATTTGCGGGTAGGGCAAGTGATCTCCTTGAATCCTTCTCCCTGGGCCCTCTATCGAACCGAAAACCGACATTCCAGGGCCAGGACGAGAAGCAGGGAGAGGCTTGGAGAGCGAGGATGCTCGGGTAAACGATATAGTCCTCGAGACCCGAAGAATTACCCGTTACCTTTTTGTCTCCCTTAAATTGGGGGGGGATAACGTCATTTTATACCGGAACATCGTACCTTTCAGATTCTGCGGATTAACCGAGATATTCGAGGGGATAGAGGGGAGGAATCAGGGGGCATCGTCCGATACACTGGAGACATGTCCACGGGCTCCGGTTCGTCTAGAGGCTCTCGCCATGGAAGTTCTCTTTATTCTTCGCAAGTGGCGGTTAATGCCCTTTCGAATCCCCCACGTGTCAGTAGGGCATCCGCAGTGCCCCCGCAACAAACGCCAACGCCTGCGCAAGCATCGGTATCCGTATCACCCTTTATAAGCTCCGCGAGTCCCATGGGATCTAGTATCAATCCTACTTCGTCTTTGCTCGTTTCTCAACTCTTGGTCGGGAGTGCGTCAAGTGTGGCGGACCCCGGTGCTGCGGCTACCCCGTTTGGGATGATTGTTGTTGGTGATGGGACTGTGCAGGACGAGATTGTGGAAAAGAGGAACGAGGGCGCGGCAGCTACAGGACGGGATAGTATCACGAAACTTGAAGAGACCCGTGAGTCGAGGGATACGAGCGAAATGGTGGAAAGTGGTGGGATGGCATTCCCGACAGTCCCCGGTTACGAGGATTTGCGACCGGTTTACTCTATTGTAGGTTCCTCTCCGCGATAAATTTTATTTTTGGACACGAGTCTCTTCACGTTTCTCCACTTTGCTCTGTCTCCACGGCTGTAGCTTGGCTTTGGTTTGCAGCGGCTAACGAAAGTTTGTGCTATCGCCCAGAATTATATTCAAGTCTTTAGAGCGAAATCTATATCCACGGGGGCTCCGGTAGTATTGAAGCTCTGCACTGTAAATCATCTTGATACGCTCGCTCGCCTCCGCCATGAGTGGAAGCTACTTTCGGAGGCAAATATTGACTCGCCTCGTGGCCCTGTCCACTCCCCATCCACCGCGCCTGCCGGGGTAACCCCAAATACCAATAATTCCGGGCTGAACTCGCAGCCTTTGACATCTGCCTCACTTACCTCTCTACCCGGCGTGGTTCGAGCATTCGCTTGGGAATATCTCCCCGATGGTGGAATGGCATTGGTATACAATGACGAACCTACTCATATGACGGTTCGGGAAATGTTTTTGCCAGATACTTTGCCTCTGTATGTTGGCACCTCTGGTCAGGCCATGCCGGTATCTCCACGCCCCGTTGTTGCCAAACCACGGACTCAGTCAGATTTGATCAAGATATTATCGGTATTCTCGGATGTTGTGCATATACTCGCAATTGCACATAAAGCCGGGATAACACATAATAATGTGAATACATATTCAATAGTCGTTAGTAAAACCCCCAAGACCATGGGGGCAGGCGCGCCAATGCTTGGGAAACTGGGGGGATGGCATCTGGCATCGCGCTTGGAGCGAGAGGATCCTGGGAGAGCTGAAGGTACAATGTTACGCGGATTAAATCCGGCTCCTTTACAATATATTGCGCCAGAGTGCACTGGCAGAATGAATAGAACTATTGATTACCGAGCAGACTTCTACTCCCTCGGAGTGTCGCTATATGAGCTGGTTGTAGGATTCTTGCCATTCAGGAGTGCCGACCCACTGGAATTGATACACCAACACATCGCCCAGCAACCGGTGCCACCCACCGAGGTTAACGCTTCAATTCCTACAGCGGTATCGGCCATGGTGATGAAGCTGTTGGCGAAGAATGCGGAAGATAGATATCAGATCGCTTCCGGGTTGAAAGCTGACATTGATATGCTTATCCGGAGGATGACGGAGGGTCGGAGTCTGGACGGTATGAGGGTCGGGGAGTTGGATACAACCAGTCAGTTTGTGATTACGGAGAACCTATATGGAAGGGAGGAGGCGGTATCGATTCTGAAGGGAGCGTATGAAAAATGCTCGAACCAAGGGGGATGCGGCATGGTGATGGTTAGGGGAGGATCTGGTGTGGGAAAATCTCGGCTTGTCAACGAAATCCAACGGCCGGTGGCGGAGAACAGAGGGTATTTCACCTCTGGGAAATTTGATCAGTATAAAAGGGGCTTCAGTTTTTTTACCTTGGTTCAGACACTTCAGGACCTAGTGCGCCAGGTACTTTCCGAATCAACCCAGAGCCTCTCTCGATGGCGGACGGAAACAATAAGAGCTCTGGACGCAGATGCTGCCGTATTGGTAGATGTTATCCCGGAACTGAAGCTACTTCTTGGCCCTGATTACAAATTTGAGCCCTTGGCAAACCTAGGACCGGTTGAGAGGGAGAATAGATTTCGGGAAGTAATAGGTCGATTCCTGGCAGTCTTTGGGAGAAGAGGGTTAGTTGTCTTCTTGGATGATCTTCAGTGGTGCTCTCAGAGCGAGTTGGTCTTCATCGCTGGAATTGCGGATGAAGCTAATAGAAAGATGCGGGAATGGAGATCGGAAGCGATGAGCGTAGGCGACACCGCGGTAGTCGGCAAATGGGGCATCAAGCAAAGTAGGAAGCCTGGAGCCTGGGGTTTGAACCCCCGCCTCCGTTACCCTTTATTTGGGATTGCTTCATTTGGTTTTTCTGTTATTTAGAGATATACTTGATTACATGTGCTGACGGTGGTCCATGATTACTGAGCATGCAGGTTTATTGATCATTGGCACTTATAGGGATAATGAAATTGACCAAGATCACCCCCTCCCGCCAATGCTCGAATACGTCCAGACCAGAGCCGGCGTAGAGGTAGTGGATATTGAACTGGGCCCTTTGGACCAGGGTTCCGTTAGAAAGATAATTGGTGACACACTTCACCGGGACCCCGATTATGGGCGACTGAATGAGGATGCTGAAATGCAGACCCTGACTGAACTGGTGTATGCAAAGACTTGTGGCAATGCATTTTTTGTGATGCAATTATTGAAAAGCTTGCATCGGGGCGGCTACATTGTATTCGATTTCGGAGCCAAAGGCGGTGGACAGTGGAGATTCAACCTAACTAGTATTGAGGCCGATGACTTACCTCCTACAGTAGTAGATTTGCTCGTGAAGCAGATGCTCAAGCTCAGCGGGCCTACGCGGACTGCGATGATGCTAGCAGCGTGCATTGGAACCGATAATGTAGGCCTGCAATCCTTGGCCGTAGCAGCCGGGAAGAAACCGGGGGGGATGGCGAATGATTTGTGGGGGGCCCTGGATGCCGGTTTGCTGCTCCCTACCGGTGGGAATTACGAAATACCGCTTGCCCTTGGTGAAGGCTCGCCCGTGCATGGAGGTGGCGGTAGTAATACCATAATATCGAATGGGCCGAGCGGCGACTCATACTTTCTAGCGCGATTCTCGCCTTCCCCTTCGGATCAGGAGGGAGCGGTCACCTACAAGTTTCTACACGATAGGGTTCAACAGGCGGCCTATTCTTTAATCCCTAAGAATGAGAGGGCCGGGGTTCATAGGATGGTTGGGGCGAGGCTGTTAGAGAAGGTTCCGGAGGAGGATTTAGATGGAATGCTATATGAAATCGTCAACCAGCTAAACCATTGGCTATCACCGTTAGAGAGGGATGAACGACATACCCTAATGGAGCTTAATCTGCGCGCCGGCAAGAAAGCGATCGCAGCGACAGCCTTTGACGCGGCGCTTTCGTATTTCCTGACCGCCAAGCAGCTTCTGGACGATCGTGAAAAGGAGGAGGAAGTGGCGGGAGCTGCTATAGCTAAACTGAGGAAAAGGATTAGTTTAGGATGGGAAACCAGGCCGGGGGCGGTCCCCGATAAAGAGCCCGATATGGAGGACCTCATATTGGAAATCAACCTATCCTTGATCGAAGGATACTTCGCCCACCAAAAATACGAGGAGTCGATCAATCTCGCTGATGCGGTTCTTCCAAAATGCACTAAACCCCGAGACAAGATAAGGTGTTTGGTTTATAAGATGAGCTGCCTTCTTGTTCAGGGGAAGCTCAACGAGACAATTGAGACTGGGCTTTTGGGATTGGGTGTTCTAAATTGGGAGGTTCCCCTCGATGACGCCGAAGCAAAATCGCACGCCGATATGATGAGGCCCAGGATTTTGATGGATGTTGCGCAGATAGAAGCTCTTGAGAAGATGCGCCGGTTGAAAGATGAGAACCTGATATTACTTCAAGAGCTGATTTCTAGCCTACTATTACCGATATACATGAGCAGACCAGCTTTACTGGAGGCAGTATGTTTCACGAGCGTGGCCATCACTCTGGAGTTTGGTATATCTACTGCCGGAGCCTACCCTATGCTAATGACCGGTGTTATACTCTCCGCCGAGGGAACGCAAGAAGCCCACCTTAAAAGTTACGCTTATGGTAGGCTAGCAATAAACCTCATTGAGAAAGATACTATCATGTGTCCAGCGGCGCCTGCAATCTACGAGGTCTACGCTGGACACATTGGGGTATTTCATTGCAGCATGAACGAGGTTCTTAAGTCATTACATCAAGCTGTTACCGCAGGTATAGCATTGTTCAACGTGGATTACACTGTTTTCGCCATGTAGGATATCATCTCCTAGTTTCAAGACCCGAGCTGACTCCCGTAGGGCTGAGATCCCATCTTTTGGGATGTTCGGCGGCGAGGACTTGAGTGCAGTCCACTCCAAAATGGTCGCCACTAAACCCAGCATACGAAAATTCAAACAGCTCACCGGGATGTGGTGGTTAAGCCTTCCTCTCCAATTTCTCCTGAATCTCCGTGGCCTAGGAAACCCGGATCCGCTCTGCTTCGAAGGAGAGGAGCTGGGGGATTCCAAGTCTCTGTCCAAGCTTTTGAGTAGCGAGAGCATGAGCCATATATATCTCTACCACATGTACCGCCTGATCATAGCGGTAATATACGGCCGCTACGATATTGCAGCAGACCTCGCGACACATTATTGTGAGCCCATGAGCGGGGGAGTTACTGGGACCTTTTACGCTTCGCTCACCTATTTTTATTCATCAGTCGCATTCCTACACCTATACGACACAATCTCGGACGAACAAAAGGACTTCCTTGATCGGAATATAAAGCAGATTAAAATTTGGAGCACCACTGCTAAAGGCACCTTTCTGCACAAGAGCGTGTTCTTGGAGGCCGAGTTTACAAGAGTTCGGGAGCCTAGTCAACAATTAGAGATATTAGACAAATACGATCACGCGATTTCACTAGCTACGAGCAGCGGATTTATACATGATGCCGCTTTTATTAGTGAGAGGTGTGGCTCCTGGTTGCGAGTGTTCTCAAAGAGACGAGCAGTGCCATATCTCAGGGAAGCGGTTCGGGGCTATGCCGCCTGGGGCGCGACAAATAAAGCCATGGAATTAAGGAAAGAGTCCACGGAGGACCCCGCAATCAAAGGTATAAACACAAATATGATATTGATATATCTTGGAGAGGCACATGTGACACTAACAACTACCTATCAGGGCATGCCGAGAGTCGGCCCACGATGGCCAGGGTCGATAGCGATATGGCGACTGCATTGATGAATAATGCTGTGATTAACATCTCGCCAAGGCTCAGTCCTCAATCTTCTAGAATCTATGCGAGCGACTACGGCTTCGACCATACATCCCCACAAAATAATTCACCGTCTCTAGCGTCGTCCAGGGAGTTATTTGCGCCGGACCCACATGATGATGACGCGACATCGCACGCATCTTCTCGTAGGGAAAACGAACCATCGTCTTTGGGGTCTGAATTGGACTTCCGAACTGTTTTGAAGGCATCGCTTGTCATATCAGAGGGGATACATCTCGAGGAGGTTATTGGGAAGCTCATGAAGAGTGTCTTGCAAACCGCCGGGGCAGATTATGGAGTCCTCATTCTTAAGGAGGGCGAAAACCTTCACGTTGAGACCGTCGGCCTGCTCGATCAAATATCCATTCTGGAGCACGAGCCTTTGAACACGCGCGCCGATTTAGTTCCGGTCTCAATAGTCAACATCGTTGCAAGCCTCGGGGAGCAAATTTTGAAGGATAGTGATGATCCTAAATTTGATGCGACGTATGGGCGAGATAGCTACTTTCAGAGACAGAGGGCAAAGAGCGTTCTCTGCATGCCAATACAGAACCAACTAAATACTATGGGCGTCCTGTACTTGGAAAACAAGCTTGTCAACCATGCATTCACAAGACAGAGGCAGGAGTTGCTGAACGTACTCTGCACCCAGGCTGCAGTGACAATTGATAAGGCACGTTTGTATCGCCAGATGGAGTTGGCGAAGAAGGCAGCTGAGGAAGCCACTGCGGAAAAATCTAGTTTCCTCGCGAATATGTCTCACGAAATTCGTAGGTTTACCAAGGATCCTGCTTTTGAAAGAGTGCTAATTGCCGTAGGAACGCCATTCAATGCTCTTCTTTCATGCTCAATATTTCTACTAGATACCACCTTGTCGGAACAGCAAAGAGAATATGTAGAGACAATCCGAAACTCTGCAGTCCTCACACTCCAGATCATTGACGGCATCCTCGATTTCTCAAAGATTGAGCATGGCGCCATCGACCTGCAGGTGTCGCCTTTCTCACTCAGGGACTGTATCGAAAGCGCCCTGCAGCTTGTCGCCGAGCCGGCCGCAACAAAGGACCTGGAGTTAGCTTTCCGTAACAAATGCTCCAACGTCGATACTGTTCTTGGGGATATTACTCGATTCCGGCAATGTGTAATCAATTTGATTGGTAACGCCGTCAAGTTTACGCAGGCAGGTCACATACTTGTTACGACCGAAGCTCAAAAGTTGCCTAATAGCGAGCTGTGGAGGGTGGAGGTCGCTGTGCACGACACCGGAATCGGTATCCCCGAAAATGCACGCGATCGGTTATTCAGGGCATTCTCTCAGGTGGATACTTCAACGCGCCGTACCTACGGTGGCACCGGGTTGGGTCTGGCGATCTCCAAAAAATTGGCCGAAATGATGGGGGGCAATATCTGGTAGGGTTTTCTCGTTGATGAAGCCTATATTCTAGTAAGGCTGACTCGGGATCTATAGGTTCGAGAGCGAAGAAGGCGCCGGATCAACATTCCATTTGACTATCACGGCTGAGGTCACCGAAAGGACTTGGTGCGCCGACAAAAGATTAATCGGTAAAAAGGCGATCGTTGCGGATACTCACCCATTGTCATCCAATATCCTAGCAGACGAACTGGAGGTGGAAGGATTGATGGTAACTCGCACAAACACGGCCGAGGCTACGTTGAAGCAACTTCATGACCACGGCATCGGATACTACGAGTTTGCACTTATAGATTTATCTGTGGACAAAACGTGCCTCCTCGTGGACCGAGTGAACAAATTCGACCACAAGATCCGGGTTATTATGATGTCTCGGTTCGGAGTCAGTCTTCCTTCAGATGCCCAGGCGTACAACATTGCACTGAGTTTTGCCAGGCCCGCGCCGAGGGGCAGATATGTACAAGCCATTCACGACGCCATTAACCCGAACAAGAAGAAACACCTTATGCCATCCAAGAATCAAGAGATGGAATTGCTCCGGTCTCTCGCCCGCCGACATCCGCTGAATATCTTACTGGCAGAGGATAATCCGGTAAACACGAGGGTTGCGCTCCAGCATCTGAAGAGAATGGGCTACTCGGCAAAGCATGCAAAAGATGGCATAGAAGTCCTCGAGATGTGTGAAGATGCGGCAGAAAGTGGCGATATGTTTGACGTAAGCCAATATACCCGCGGCCCGTTTTGAACCAGCTACTAATCTCCACAGGTAATCCTGATGGACATACAGATGCCCCGGGCGGATGGTATAGAAACGAGCCTAGAGCTGCGTAGGAGATACGTTGATGGGGAAAAGCCGACGATTATCGCTCTGACAGCGAACGCGACCGCAGCTGATCGGGAGAGATGTCAGCAGGCGGGAATGTTTAGCCATATTGCGAAGCCGATACTCCCGAATGATCTCGCAACGGCTTTGATGTCTACCTCCCCGCTTCAACTGTCGGCGATAAAACGCCAGGATTGACCCCCATTTCCATTCCAGCTCCAACAGTACCTGCTGCTCCTGCCGCCATTCTCGCCCTGACCTATTTGGTCTTTATATACCAGTGGGGTTCGCCCTTCCCTTCCTCCTCCACCTACCCAATATTCCCGGATCTTACCCCATCTTCAACCCATCCCTTACCTACCAATACCACCGCCGCACTTGTCCGTGGAAAAACATGTGGCAGATTATGCGCGGTGTCTCATTTTTCCTTTCTTCACTCCCCCATTTCGTACTTGTAAATATTTTTTTCTCCTTTGCGATACACCTTCACTTTTGGATCTGCCTTACCTAACTTGAGGGGTTCTCTTTCCCTCTCGTTGACGGGAGTCTTTTCTTTTTCTATATTTATATTATTTTTATATTACCCCATGCTGCATAATTGCATTTTTGGCGTCGAGGGTATGGAATATGTGTACGTAGCCAAGATAAAGTTGGTACGGTATTGAATGGATTCACGTGGGCGTTTTTATTTTTATTTTTATTTTTTTCACTGCCTTTAATTACTTGTTCTTGGTGACGTGAAGTTGGATTCTATAGACATTATCCGGTTCGGGAGGGAGGGAGGGAGGCCCGGTAGGTTGGCCGGGTAGGTTTATCATGCGCTCTGCTGCGGCTATGATAGTGTCATGGAAAGCAGCCTATAGCTAGCGTGTACAGTATAGTACTTCACGATACTGTGATAGCTGTTCCCTACCCGAGACCTCGAGCGTCAAATCTTGTGCCAATGAGCGTCGGCCTACTGCAGTGCTGGGTTGTGGGCATGGGGCAGCTACCCTATCAGAGGATTCTGGACAGCACGCGGTTTTTTTTTTGGAGGACGGTATCATACCGTGCATAATAGACTGCGTATTGATTTCCGAGCCGAACTGGCGGCCTTGAATTGAGTGTGGCTGCGGAGTCGTATTTTTGTTGAAGTGGATGACCTACTGCCTTCACGGATACTTATATCGTCGGATATCTCGCAGTGGTATCCTCCTCTGAGCTCAACCGGGGGAAGCGACCCTGGCGAGGCTGGAGGGGCAAGACTGAAGATCATAAATCGAGTGATGCATGGTGGAGCGAGGAGGAGGTTTAAAATTAGGTCCAGTTGAGCAAGCGACCCGAAGTCATCTTATCACCAACCCCACTATCCACCCCACCACACCCCACCGCACCAACCAACCAACCAACCGACCAACCAAAACACATCTCAAACGAAGAAGCACAAGACAACAGCCGTTCAAAAACGACCACTCACGCAACCACCTAAATAATACCAACTCCCACCGGCCCCCCTTCGGTCAGGCGAAAAAATATAAAAAAATAAGAATGCGCCAGAAAACCCTCATCAAAGACGGCCGTTTCGTGACGGGCTGGCACTTCGATTCCCGCGACGATTTTCTCCAAAACCGGATCCTTCTCCCATCGGCGCTGTGGGAGGAATACGAATCGCAATTCCCGCCCCCCCAATCCCCACCCCCATCCCCCTCCCCATCCCCTTCCACGCCCTCATCGCCTCCGCATCCACCGCCAACCTCACAGCCAGTGCTAATCCTGCGGGTCCCGCAGTCCGGAAGGCTATACCACATCTGCCCGCCCACACACCCGCAGATGCTCCGCAAGCAGTGGGCCATGATGCTCCATCGACGGAAGATTTTCCTTCGAGGAGAAGCATGGACGGGTGTGACACTGGGTGAGCTCGCGGAGATCTGTGTGGGGAGGATTGGGGTCCTCGAGGGGTGGACTAAGGCTGGGGTGGGGATGGGGGATATTTCATTGCGGTTTTGTGGGGTGAAGGTCCGTCTTTCAACCCTCCTCTCTCCTCCCTCGCCTCTCTTTTCTTCTTCTCCCTTGTGCTGGGGTGGGCTAACGCGAGTGCATAGGTTGGCAGAAGGATCACCATCGGAGAGTTAATTGACTTTGCTCGGGTCCATCTGGAAGAGCCGGACGAGGGTGTTTGGGAATGTCCGGTGTTTTTAGAGGTTGCGATCCAGAGAGCTTCTTCCCCCTCTGCGGCGTCTACGGCGGTGGTGGATGGTGATGAGAGGAGTGGCAAGAAGAGGAGGAATGGGGAGGGGGAGGAGGACACAATCCAACATGTTTCACCTTCTGCTACTCCCAGTAGTGGGACTATAGCCGGGTATTTAGGGTGGGCCCTTGATGGGAGGCATGGGGGATAAATTTTTTCTCTACCCTTTTTTTCTTTCCATCTCTATATGTATGCTTTTAACCTGCTCGGCGCAGGATTTTCCCTGTAATTCTTCCCCTGTCCAGGTTTGAATGGGCGGGTATTTCTATGATATGCTATTATGTTTCCGGGGCCGAGCGACTTGACTCGGCTTGAATCCTCGATACTATCGATACAATTCATGCTACCGTACTCGAGTACCTCATCGGTGCTACTGTATTGCTTGTTTGCAATCCACCATCGCTTAAGATATAGTACTAGTACTCGTACATGTACCTTGAGAGATTTTTTTTTTTTCTGGAAAAAAAAAACCAAAAAAAAACCAAAGGCTTGGTTGAGCCGCACGGCTTGTCGTCCTTATTTCGGCTGCACTAGCAGGGACCTGAGCTCTTGGCTGGTCCCGCCTAACTCGATTCGGACACACTTTCCCCATTGAAGACTTTCCCCATTGAAGAATTAGAGTAAAATTATTATTTTTTAAAAAAAAGCCGGCTCCCGAGTTTGTCCAGAGTTTTATGCACCGCCCGAGTACAGTACGGAGCTGTCGGACATGTACGAGTAGATGGCCGGAGGTTAGATCACGGGTGATTGCTTGGATGGCTTTGGTGATGCGGCCAATGGGTTTCTAAATCGTATATATAGACCCCCCCCTCTACAATAGCAATCAACAAGGAAGAACACTCCCCTCAACACCCAACTGCAGGTGTCTCAACAGTACGAGTACTGTGCCGCGGGTCTTACTTCTACCTCTAGTTCTCTAACAGGGTTCCGGTTGCAAGATACTAGTAGAGCGCGTGTACTCGAGTGCGAGTACCGGCCACGGTGCTTTTTGGGAAGAGCGTTCTCAACACTATCTCCTGTATGGCCCCGCAGAGGCCATTCCAAAACGGGTGGCCAAACTTGGTGTGGAGACACAAGTATATATAGACCCATTCTCCTCCTTTCCTCCAAACACATTCACCTCCCTTATTTTCTCCATTCAAACCGAGTCACTTTGTTCTCCTTTCACCTCCGATTCTCCCCTTTCCTCCCCTCACATTATCCTTCCCCCTTTTACGGAGGTGCGGTTGCAACCCTCACCAAACACTCTAGACCGTACTCAAGGTAAACACCTCCAGACCCTCTGCATGGATACAACCATCAAGCCCTCCTTGGCGCTCGGTGCCTTCTCCATATGCTAGGCGGCCGTCTGTGAGGTAAATGGGCACTAAGGGTCGTCTGGTAAGCAATCCCTTTCATCACCTCTGATTCAACTAACAATTGCTATGATAGTGGGAATGCATAGCCCAAATAGACAAACATGTGTTCGATTTAGACGAACGTGTGTTTGATATGGGAAAGGTTTTTTCCCCTATACGTTTGGTCAGGTTGTGGTCTGCTTACACAAGTAATAGGAGTTAGGAACTCTTACGACTCAGATGGAAACCGGCTTTTGCGCCATGGAGGGTAAAATACTCGTAGGCGGGATATCATAGAAACCAAAGTTACAGCTATTCTATACCTCGATGGGCTGGTGGTTTCAGGGCTGATTTTTTTTGGGGGGGGGTAAGTCACCCCTGAATTCAAATTCTCACTTTCTAACAAACTTGATTATAGTTTACAGGACATTGGATAAAAGAAGCTACCAAAAAATAATAATACTGTTGGCTAGATCTCAAGAAGGTTTGGCAAGCTGTGGTAAGATCCATTGAGATACTACTTGAAAGCATGTTGCTGACGCATTGATAGCAATGGCGGGACGGTGACTGCAGATAAAAACAAAACGGTAAAAAAGCGAAAAAACACAAGAAAGGCCAGGAAGGGGTCAGGCATTGGCTGAGAGTGGGAAGAGAGAAAAAAAACATCTTTATTTGGGCCTGTTTTTTATTGTTAGTGCTAAATATATACTTTTAGTGAATTCGTGTGTTCATTGCGAGTTCAACTGCGAAGAATGATAGTTGCAGATTCACTGATATCATACCTAGAAACGTGCAGGAAAACCTTTTCAATACTATCCCCGTGCTTGAGAAGTGGTGTAGTGCTCAGAATGGAAAAAATCGGTACTGCTCAGCATAGCCACGATGGAAACAAGATCTTCCTGATATATTTGCTCCCGGCTGTCATGCGAATAGGTTATTGTTCAAAATTTTAGGGTACCGGTACTTGTGCCTCCGCACCAAAAATGGTCACCTCCTTGGGAATGATCCCTCCGAACCCAAAGAAAGCCTAGTACTGGGGCCGTTTTCCAATGGGGCAGATATATTGTCACCATGCGGGGAATAAAACTTGACCGGCACTGTAAGACTTCTTTCACCCATTTGTCATACTCATCATGATATTACCTATAAGTTTAGCTCTATGTCATACAACAAATGCTTCCATCGCAGGAGGAACCAATCTATTCACACAACCTTAAGGAGCCATACGGTATGGTAAAAAAAAAAAGACAATGTAGGAGAAGATGTCCCGCCCTACCATGGAGATATATCAGTCTCACAGATACCGTCTATCTAGTGCCAATATCATGGTTGTCTGTTCAAATAGGTCAAACACTACTCGTACATATCTATCCCTTTCCATGGGCCTGCCTACTGTTCCAAAAGGGGTGAACGATTCTTGGTTCGGAGAAGACACGAGTATGATAACTTTACGGTATTGTGCAGTACAGTACGGTACCGTACCGTAATAATAAAGAAGTGTGCTACATACATATAGTACCGCACGATCCCTCCGTTTGTTCCGGAATCTCATCTCGCTCACTTTTGGCGTGTCGATAGGTAAGAAGTATGAATGAACCCGATTGGTTCGATCATGATACGGCATCACCTGTCAAAAAAAACAGAATGGACCCGCTCACGGAATGGTGATTTGGCCATCGACGAATTCGAGCTTGGACGAGTCGATTTCTCGAAGTAAGCTACAGTTACTATCACATGATTCTTCTTCTTGGAATTTGGAGGCTGAAAAGAAAAGAAAAAAAGAAAACAACGGCCCGAAAAACCGAGTTGGGGGGAGGGGGAGTGCAGGTCGGACGTCTAGAATTTCCCCCTTTGGGTTAGGGGAGAAAATGTAGAGGGGACCGCCCCTCCTCCCGAATGTAGCAGACAGCCCTCGGGCGGGACCAACGAAGGAGGAATACAACGGGCCCTACTACAACAGGAGGGGAAACACAACGTCCTACGTGTGTGGGTGCCGTCGCAGGGTTCTCGGTTCGATTGTTCCGGGTCTTGAGTGGCGAGAGCTTTGCCGAGTGTACGAGTACTGTACAGTACCGGTATTACGGGAGTGCAAGTACTGTACTCGTACACTCTTATAAGTCTGTCTCATGGTCGAGTGTGGTGATACAACAGTGAATCATGGGACAGTATCTTACTGCCGTCCCTGCCAGCCCTGTTCCAATAGTCAATCCGTTACGCTAGGTCTCAATTACTGTCGGTTCCCTCCTACATTGCCTTTCCCATTTTGAGGCTGGAAGGCTATGACGGTGGAGGGCTGGGAAGGGGGGTTGGTTATTATACACGTATTATACAAACCCCTGCTACGGCACTATATTGTGCTCAAAGGGAGTCCGGTTTCGCTTGCATGTCCGGGATGCCTAGAGTTTGCCAAATTTAAAGTAACCCCCGGGCAGGGGATTGCAAGGCAGGCCTGGGGGCTTCAGGCTCCTCGGGGAGAGAAGACATGAGTGCTCTCTCTCGATCCTCTCCCCGCATTCACAATCTGGGACTAACATGGCGACGGTAATCCCCCTCTCAAACTTCACCTTCTTAAACTACGCCAAGCCCACACCCACTCTCCCAACCTCCCTCCCCTTTACCTTATCTACGGAGCCGGTGACAGACCTCTGGCGCAAGCCCTCAAACCTAATCGCCTCCAACCAGCCAACCCTCTACACCCCGCTACTTCTATCGACATTCGTTAGCGCAACGGCCAGCTTCCGCGCGGACTGGAAAACACTGTACGACCAGGCCGGCCTAATCCTGATCTTCCCGCACTCCCGACCCGCGGAGGCTTCGGCGGAATCTCCGCTAGGATTGCCAGACGAGCATCCTCCAGCGTGGATAAAGTCCGGCATCGAATTCGTCAATGGTATCCCGAACAGGGGCACAGTTTCAGCGCCCTTCAATTCGTGGGCAGATTGGTCACTTGTGCCGAGTCGTGATGCCGAGGTTTCCATCACTTTTGAGAGGGAGGGCGCGGTAGATGGGGGGCAGTTGGGGACCAGTTTACAGATATTTTTGGTGGACGGAGAGGAGAAGAGGAAGACTATGGTAAGGGAGGTTACGTGGGTTTTTGAGGAGGAGCTTGTGAAATGTGGCACTGTGGTTTGGGTTGGTGTTTATTTGGCGAAGCCCACCAGGGATGGGGAGGGGGAGGGCCAAGGGGGGAGACTGGAGGTGGAGTTTGAGAGTGTGGAGGTTATTGTTCGGTTGTAGTTTGGTTGTCGATTGTTCTTGTTGGGGGGAGGTTGGGTTGGTGGGATGGATGGGTGGCGGGCGGCCAGAAGGGCTCACTCGGGTTCTGCTCTTGAGAGGGGGCTTGAAAGACCTGCTTCCGACGTTATGATATCATATCGTGCACGAGACCTTTCGGGTGACGGACTCGGAAGGGATCTCTAGCCTAGGATGTTACTGTTTCGGGCCCACAGTTATGATATGATACCGCTCATATTGCGTTCACCTCTTCAATTGTGATCACACCACCGATGCCAGCGAGCACATTATGGTCCCCTTCTACCTAGAACTACGGATACGCACACCACGGCCTGTAAAGGGTGCCATCCGAACCTATGAGCATCTGATGATCGCTTAGTGATTCGCTTCCCAGGTATTATTTGCTCCTAGTATCAAATTTTGTAGTCATCTCCCTGTCGTAATCCAATAACTATAATCCGCACAGTAGCTGATTACAGACGCTGTAGGCGTTGGATCCTTTGGGGAATGCGGGTGCCTAAAGAAATACTAGCAAAGCCTCCTGACGGCCAGTGCATCCCCAAGATCTCTAATGCACCGAGCCACTCCCATCATGAACGCTCTGGACCCCATGGCATCACCAGAAATGATTCCGTTCACGGCAACTATGGTGGTATGCCGAGACCGCAGTATACTGCACCGACCGTGTCCTAAGCCGGCTAACATCATGTGGGAAATGCGAAAACGAACCGTATCCCCCCCCCCTTTCTCAGGGGTACTGGGGAACCAGGGGAAGACTCTGGACTCGCCCGTTGAGATCGTGGCCGCGAAGGCCACGGCACTTCTCAGCACGCAGTCCGAAAGTGGGAAAACCTGTTCGGTTACGCCTGGCAAGGGCAAAGTATGACAGGAGGGAGATCTGAGAATCCACTCACCACCTTATCAGAACGATAAAATCGCTTCCACACGAATACGATGCTCGACATTGTGGGATGCTTTGTTGTCAGTGGGAGGATTGTTTGTCAGCGGAAAGCAACCCCATCCGACCCACGATCTGTCTCGGGCGCTCCTTCCCACACTCGGGTTGCCGGTCCGGAGGGGCGTTCCCTCCTGTGGTGACGCTGTGGGAAAAGGGGGCAACCTCGATTCAGACACTCATTTATCCTTCCTTTCACCTGTGTGGGGGCTTTTTTAATCCTGCAGTGCTGAACCTTCGTCTGTTGAATCTCCAGTGCCATAGGTGTCTCTTTCTTTTCCCCAGACACTTGGACTTTGTCATTTGTGGGATATGGGTGCCCACGTTATACGGAGGCGGATTTTCCAATCTAACTTAAGCCCATTATTATGATGCTTCCCAACATGCTGGAGTATCCCCGATCGTTCCATTACCGTGGGAACCCTTACGATCCGCTATGGGAGTATTCGCGGAAACCGGCCGCTTAGCCTACGATAGGTGATTTGGTGGGGCTAGAATTGAGAATACGGGTTAATGGGATCCAACACATTCATTGTCTCATCCTTACGGTGTCAGGAAAAGCCCAATCCTTCTCCGGATATCTCGTCTCAGATCTAAAGGTCACTAGGGCTGGTAGATGTGGTGGATTCTAAGGACTTTACAAGTACGGTACAGTGTGCCATTAGCTTCGTCCGACAAGATATCTAGCACTAATACAAGTGCAGCGTGCCCCTAGCCGGGGATCGCGGGATCAGCCATAGCTTTACCAGCTATTTCCCCCACGAACCCCTCGCAACCCTACCGGACGCTGGGAAAACCTATTCTCCATGATTTAACTACCATCCACAAAAGCGTGGAGAAGACTCCGCAAGCGATGGGCCCAGGAGCAGCGCAGTGGGGGAATGTTGAAGAGCACACATCAGACTCGGTGCCGGGACAATTCACAAAAATAGGAAGTCCTCTCCCTCTCCTTTGGCACTGGATGGATGACTCTGGTCATCGGGGCGCGGCATCTGAATGCTTTTTCGGCAAGTGAATATATGCCAAGATCTTGTCTCGAGTGAAGGATGTTTCTTCCGGGGCAATTCCTTCCCTCTATCCAGAGAGGGGGGTTCTGGACGTCTTATTGTGGGGTTTAATTTACCCCAGTTCGAATCGGACGTTGCAGTTGCCCCATCCAGCAAGCTCCAGCGCCCCCCACGTTTTCTCCCTGTTTTCTCCCCTGGAAAGTGACGGTATTACACCGCCTCTACAACAGTCTTCCCTGCGAGGCCAAGGCCCGTCCCGCACCTGCTTACCCGCGATTGAAAGGAACACGGCCTGTGTATCAGAGCGCTAAAATTCAGCTTTTTTGCTTGGATCTCAGCATCATAGCGGGGGTCGTGTTCACAAGCGCAGCCCCCGAACAATGCATGTTGACTAGATCACCCTGCCGCTGGTAAGCTACGTTGAAATAAAGTAGGCCCATGGCAAGAGGTGCCCCACGACAACGCCAGGCACAAAATTAGGAGATCTATGCGTATCCGAGCACTAGAATAGTAAATTTATGTGTCCCTGTTGTCGGGTACCATAAATAGGGTACCATGATACTTCTCGCGTAGGATATCTATTACAGCGTCGGATGTCAACCAGGATTTTCCAGATTTCCACTCAAGTTGGCGCGTTTTAACTGATTCATTGACCCGCCTAACCCACTCGCTGTTCGATACCATGAGAACTGTAAATACTAAGCACGGCAAGGCACTCTTAGTTCCCTTCTTTGGGTAGCAATAAATGGAGGGAGGGAACCATCACGAGGAGGGATGCAGCGTCCAGTCCTCGGTAGTCAGGTGAAAAAAAGAAAAAAAAAGATATGAAAGTTAGACTAGCTTACTGGTACTCGCACAGTAGGGGTTTTCAAAGTTAAAAACATGATCCCTCAGCAATAAGTAAATGCGGGAAGTTGCATATGCTTACTTTCTGGTATTAGCCAGTAGCACCCTCATGTTCCAGGTACCATATCTGAAAGTTCTAAGCTAACCAAAGGATAAACCTTGCAGAGATGGCAAGAACCCTGCTTCTGTCAACAAAGTATTAAAAGTCAAAAGTTTTTCCCCTTTTTTTTTATATATCAGAGAGAGTACATAATTATTCCTGGGATGTTCTATGATACTTTTTAAAGAATTTCTTTTTACATCATGTCTGATTTCAGAGGTTTGGTAAAGCTGTGTGAAACTGAGTTCAGGATCTGTTATGGACCTCCAGGCCTTTGTATCTACACTATGGCATGGAAAAATTAAGTAACAGTAAATTGACCATTTCTGTGCATGCCAAGTTTGCATAAAACAGCAAAAGTATGATGAGGTAGATTTTTGCTGCCTTTTTAACTTTGAAAACCCCTACTCGTACTCGTACTCGCACTCAAGTCGTCGGTTTGAAGTCGCCTTTCCATCCACGGGGTCGGGGGTTCCCGGCATGGAAAATGAGTATTATTATTTTTTGTGCGCGGGACTTGAAGAAACGGATGAATGAGGCCATATCACATCTGAAATCAGAGAAAGATATTTCATATTGAGGGAGGAGCGTGATATCCATTGTGCATTCCCAGAAACTTGGCCAAGTGAGTTAGAATATTTATTCTGTACGTACGATAGTCTTCAAAATGTAATCATTTCTTACCAGTCACATTTGCTTGTCCGGTACCGGTACCGGTAATTCGACATTCCCGTACAGCATGGAACGTCGCTTTTCCCATGCCGAGAACCCCCGGACCACGTATGCAAACGCGGCTTCAAACCGGCGACCTGGGCTCGTATCATACTGCCACAGGCTATTCTCCAACGTTCCGTGCGAGAGATTCCCACTCGTCCCAGCCCTCATGGTGACCGGTACAGTACAGTACAGCGGTGCGGACTGCCAAAATCTCGCACACCGGGAGCAAACTCACTCGAAAAGTAGCGGTAATCTCGTCACGATGTGCACAGGGTATGGACGGGCGAGCGGTACGGCACTTATGCACTGAATTATCATGCCTACGATAGCCCATTTTCTCTTCCGATGCTCGAGATGATTACTGATTACAGAAGTGGCAGTTGGTCGGGGGTTGCGATTGCGAGACGGCGACGATAAGGATGGAGCACATTATGAAGTGTCATCTAGCTAGACTCACCAGCTGATCGGTCTATATATACATAATCGTGGCAAGAGCACTCTTCCCATTCCTCTTTTTTTTTTTCCACCCCAAACTTTTCCCAACTGATGTTTTCCTGGGATTCTGGCGATATGTTGTAATGTGTTATTATTGTGGTGCGGGTATTGACTGTCTAGACATCAATGTTAAATCTTAACCTTAACCCCACTGATCAGCATTGATTGGTTTGGGGGGGGAGGGGGCAGGGGCAGTGTTTACATGCTCATTCCCCCAAACTTTCTCACTCGGGTATGATGCCATAATTACCGCCCATGTTACTACTCACGAAAAGTCAACCCCATTTCCATTGTTCCCCCCCGTTTAGTGCGAAAAAGAGGACACAGTTGAGTGATTAGATAAGAGCTGGCTTGGATCACTCTACGAGTACACATACCGGCATTTAAACATTACGTCCCTCCCCTGGTTTCCTACGTCTTCTTCTACCTTCGGCACCACGCCTCTGATTGCCTGCTGACCAACTCTTTTCCCAGCCACCCTCTTTTACAGGCACCCAACCTCTTTACACTCTATATAAAAGGTATTCCCCAGTACCCTCATCAGTCCCAGCACACCCATCCCCTCATACAACTCAAACCGTAAACAAACCCCACATTCAACGAACGCGAGAGCGATATGACCGAAAACATTGCAAAGTATCGTGTGGAGTTACTGGAGGAGCAGGTGCAGAAGTTGTCTCAGAAGGTTGAGACTTTGTGGGCCGAGAACGCCGTACTCAACAGGAAGCGCGATAAATCGGACGAGTGGGTCGTCTTGCTGATAGCCGCCTGTCAGCAGCTTGTCCGACGTGTGGGTACTCTGGAGGAAAGGTGCCCCGTTCCCGAACAGAGCACCGGACGGCAGGGTGCCCAACTCAAACCGGGCGGAACTGCACCGAGAGAA